CGTGAGGCGAGGGCTTCGGGGCGTCCTCTCCTCTGCCTCGATGTGGAATGAGCAAAGTTTCAAATCGCGGGCGAAATTGGCGCTATTGCTGCTCTATCGCGGCTGGAGAGGCTTCCTGCTATGCTATGTCAAATTTTCCGCAATTTGCCGCTACCGCCGCGATCGCCGCGTGAAACAGCAATAAGTGGCTTAGCTGTCGTTGCAGTTTCGCTGGAATGGCTGAGATCGATTTTAACAGGCTGAAACAGAGGCCCAGAACAAATCGTAGCCCAAATTTCCTCTGATAGAGCAGCCTGTCCAGAAACCTTATCTTCATTAAATCCTCTCGCTCCCATCTAAAAAACTTGCGGCGGCTGCGGCTAGGCGGGCCGGCGTCTGCTTCGCAGCAAGCCGGAGTCAGCGACGAGCGAGGCGGCGACCAGGACTCCGACAGGAGGCTGCATACTCCGTAGCTCTAGTACTCTGTCTGTTTGCTGTTATTGATCCATCCTAGTCCGTTTGCTGATTTAGTACGGATGTTGTCTTTTTATTTGCGGGGAGGATATTGACTTATTTATGACTGAATTTATACTGCCAATCCTCTGTTTTCTGCTGAAAATCCTCTGTTTTTTAGACAAAAAACATGCATATGTACTTTTGCCGCTAAATACCTTAGCGGCCGCTATCGCCCGCTATAGCGGCCCTAGCGTTTTGATGAGCCAGCCGCGAAATGCTTTTGCCCGTGATCTTAAAGTTTGGGAACGAGGGGTCGTGGCCTCGTGGGCTATGGCTGAACGACAGAACGAGGGCTGGCAGTGTATATTGGGCCATCTATTTTTTTGGCCCAGTTAAATACCCATGGTAGGCTGCTCCAAAATCCCAGGGTGGGCCGCGGCCCACCCTGGCCACCCTGTAGCTCCGTCCATGTTGCATACCCTTCTCCACTCAGTCTGGCTCTGAAAAAACAGCCTCATATGCAACATCTGCGAGTTGTTTGGTTGCCTGCATGTCCTCTTACCTGCATGGGCTGAACCACACTGCCTGATGTTTGATTGCCCGCATGTTAGTGGACAAACCCAAGGCAAGGTGTTTGGTTGTATGCAACGCCTGGTGCGTGGTAACCTCTTTGGCTAGTTGGTGAGGTTACCAGCACACTTCGGCACAACCATGTATAGCACACATCATAAGCAGAGCAGAGTATAAACAGAGCATCAACTACTTAACAGCATAATTCAGATAAGCAGTACCACACTTCATAACAGTTCAACGCCTAAACCCTAAACAGTTCAAAGCAGACTCCTTGGCGGCGAAGGCTTCATCGTGCTTCCCGCAATTGCTGACGACCACAATGCGATCCTCGTTGAAGATGGTGACCTTGAGGGTGTAGGGAGTGAGGAGCTTGAACGTCACCATGTAGTCGATCTTGATCTGATGAACGGCTGCGTGGGTGTCCCAACCCTGATCCAGGGTCACCCTGTCGTTCACCTGCTTCACCGTCACCTTCAAGGACCAGCCGGTGTTTTTCCTGAGCTTAAACTCTGTCGGCACCGCAACGAAGTGCATGGTGAAGTCCAGGGGCATGGGGATGCACTCAAGCTTCGGTGCAAGGATGACGTTGCAGAAGTGAGTCGGGCCATCCTCCTGATGGTAGTGGTCGTAGTTGCGGCGCTTGTTGCTGGGGGGCACCTCCATGCCCTCGTCGTCGCCACCCTCAAGCGTCTTCGGGTCTTCCTCGGCAGTGGGCGGCAGCACAACCTCGTCGGGCATTGGGTGAAGGGGCTGCTTGCCCCTGTTCTCAACAGCCGGGAGCACCTCATTGCTCTCCTCGATCTGCACACAATTCATGGATTCAGGCACAACACAGAGTTCATGGCTTATTGAAGAGCATGCAGTTAAAACGGCATGACTGTCACTCTTCTCCTCCTCTCCATCGCCCCTATATTTACTCACCCTGCCCAACACTACTTACCCACCCCCTCTCTTCTCTCACTGTCAACCTTCCTCCTCCCCATCGCCATGAGCTCTAGCTCCAGCTCGGATGCCAACCCCTTCCCTTGGGGTATTGGCGGGACAGCCTTCTTCCTAGGGTGGTCGATTGGTGACCGCACCAAGTTCGAGAACACCATGGAGGTGTGCTCGAACTTCGGCTCCATGCCTGACATGCAGAAGGAATCTAATGCAGTGCTCATGAAGGCCACTGCAGAAGAGCTGAAGACGCCGATTCCTGACCCAGCGAAGGGCGCGATGGAAGTTGATATCATTCGCGGGGCCATGAATTTGGCCGTCTCCGACGACGCTAAACAGAGAAAGAAGTGGTGCAGGTACAAGAACTATTGGGCCCCTAATGACCGCCATGCCGCAGTGTACTGGGAGACGGCTATCGCGCCTCCGGCGGTCATCGGTGGGGAGCCTAAGAAGGAGGACAAGGAGGAAGAACCGGTGCAGATGCCGGCAAGGGAGCCGGAGCCAGGTTGTCGTACCTGGAAGATCGACCTCGACTCCTCCTAGGACGCCGACGACGACGACGTGCCACCCCGCACGACGATGAAGAAGAAGATGAAGGCCAGCCAGTCCACCCGCCGCTCCGCACGCCGGTGATGGCGGCCGCGGTTATGTACCCCCAATCCCCCAATCCCCCTTCTACTATGTGCTACTATTCGGATCTACCTCTATTCCGATCCTGGAGGAACTACTATGAACTCCTAGGTACTTGTATGAACTAGTATGCTTATCTACCTCTATTCCCCATTCCCCTCTGCGCCGTGGATCGAATCTACCACCGGATCAAACGCGAAAAATTAGTGTGTGATGAACAGAGAAGTTCTTACCGCCATTGCCGCTGCCCAGGCGATCCGCTCGCCTGTGATGGAGTCCGGTGGTCTTCTTACTTTGCTCCGATCCGCCGCCACCGATGAGAGTTGCGAGAGTAGGGAGAGTGGGGAGAGGGAGCGGTGAGGGGCAGTGAGGCTAATAACAGTCGGCGCTTCGGGAAGCAACGCAGCTTCTCGAGCATGGCCGCGCGCGTGCAACCACCGCCGCCCACATGCACCGCTCGGGCCTGGCCCTAGAGAAACTGCCGATTCGGGCGTTTCCAGCGAGCCAGGCCTAGGACTGTTTTAAGGTCCGTGCCATGCGGGCCGAATAGTGAAAGCAGGCAACCAAACAGGCCGGATTCTTCCCGCGCGGGCCTGGTTGGGCCTCATGCAGGCAACCAAACACGCCCTAGTATACTGATATTGGACTGAAGCTTGTTAGCTCTGTCCATGCTGGGCCTTTTTGTCATCATTAGTATTGTTATATATTAGCTGAAGCTGCACATGTTTTCTTTCCGTTGACGTTGGTGCGGGCGGTGCTACGCGTCAGTCGGCCGATGGATGGCCGCCTTACTCACCTGATTTTAATCAAGTCCGACCTAGCTGTAGTTTGTTTTGTCACTAGCTGCGTATACATAGGCGAGCTCCAGCACTGTGTTGCAGCGTGGAAAACATATGAACTCTAATAAGAAACATACAATGGTTAGAAACATATCCACATCTTTTTTTGGGCACGTTTTAGGTGTCAACGAAATTAGTCGGATCGCCAGCAGTCGAATTGACACATGGAGCATTGGATCACACTACACGGCAGCAGAGAGAATGGAAACTGTGTTTCTCCATAGCCTCCACAATACATGTGTATCCGCCACACCTTCCCCATCGTCGCAACAGACAATTACGTCGGCCCCTCGCAACACCTTGCTTCGGTACCCTGGAGATCCCTGATGTTGCTTAGCTATCCTGCAAGTACCCTAGAGACCCAAAGTGCCAAGCACCTGAGACCTATCATTTGGATACTTTATACCTAAGATATTATTTACCAAAACCATACCTGAGACATTTTCCCCAATGCAGGCGGGGCCGATGAAAAGTCGAACCCCTTGCCAACCTACTCAAAAGGTGTACACGGTCTCCCTCCGTCCCGAAATACTTGTCGGAGAAATGGATATATCTAGATGTATTTTAGTTTTAGATACATCCATTTTTATGCATTTGTACGGCAAGTATTTCCGGACGGAAGGAGTAGTAACTATATATTTGTTTCTAAATATAAGAAAAATTACTATTAAATACTACTATACCAAAGATATAAGATCATTAAATACTAGTATATCAAAGATATACCTAAATATAAGAATATTTAATAGTAGTATACCGAAGATATTCTACAGTTAAATTCTATTAACTCTGTTCCAAAATATAAGAATATTACTATAAAATACTATTAGCTGTATTCAAATAATTAGTAATAGAAATAATATTCTTTAGTAGTGATATATCTTTATTCATCATTAAATATAAGAATATTACTAGTATTAAATACTAGAATCCCAAAGATATATCTACTAGTATACCAAAGATATACAACAATCAATATTACCTCTGTTCCAAAATATAAGACTGTTACTGCTACCTCCGTCTGAAAATATTTGTAGTCAAAATGAATAAAAGAGGATGTATCTAGATGTATTTTAGTTCTAGATACATCCCTTTCTATCTGTTTTGATCACAAGTATTTTTGGATGAAGGGAGTATTAAATACTATCACAGCTATTCTTATATTTAGTAACAGAGATAATAGTATTTAATAGTAGTATATCATTGTTCCTAAATACTCCCTCCGTCCCAAAATTCTTGTCTTACATTTGTCTAGATACGGATGTATCTAACACTGAAATGTAACTAGATACATTTGCATTTAGAAAAATCGAAGAAAAGAATTTGGGGACCGTGGGAGTATAAGAATATTACTATTAAATACTAGTATGCCAAATATATATTTAATACTATACCAAAATATAAGAATATTTAATAGAAATATACCAAAAATATGCTACTATTAAATGCTGGTATTAAATAAATAAATCTGTAGTTCAACACGCGGTCCCCACCTTGGCCCGTGCCTTTTGTTTCAGTTCATAAAGGACGACACATGCTTCTGCTCCTCGCTCACATTCTACTCATCCCGCTCTCATTGACCAACTCTGCGTGTCTGCTCGACCGATCCACCGCAATGTCTAGCTCCGGCGTCAATGCCATACCCGCAACCAACCATGAGGAGCAGAGCCTGGCGGCCCCCGCTCCGCCCCCTGCGGCCGCGATCGCCCAGGGGAAAGGGAAGGTGCTTGTGCAACAGGTGCCTGCGCCAGTGGTTCACAGGCGCAAGCCCGGGAGACCCCAGGAGACAAGCCCGCCCCCAGCGGCCACCAGAGAGGAGCTGGAATCCCGGGAGTCCCGGGAAGGCCCCTTGAAGGTGCTTGCGCTCCCGGCGCCAGGGGCCCCGCGTACTCACGCTGTCTCTGGCGACAAGATGATGAGACGCGCTCGCGCCCCCACCCGGCATGCCAACGTTGTCTCCGACGACAAGATGGTGAGCCGCGTTCGCGCCTCCACCCTGCATGCAAACCGTGTCTCCGATGACAAGATGGTGAGCCGCACTTGCTTTCCCCTCTCCTACAAGTGATTTGAAGTTAACCGGTGCCTAATGATTTGAAGTTACTGGCAATCTTTAATTTAGTCATGTGAATTGTACTAGTGCTTACTGAATTACCTGATGTGTATGTGCATGAACTACGTGGTGTGTATATGTCCTTGGATTTTCTAATCGCTGTGGTCTATCTGGCATATGGACAAGAACGACATGGCGAGCCGCGCTCGCGCCCCCACACGGCGTGCAAGCGCTGTATCCGACAACAAGATGGTGAGCCGCGCTCGCTGCTCCCACTCTGCTACTAGTGATTTGAAGTTAACCAGTGCCTAATGACCTGGAGTTATTGATAATCTTTAATCTAGTCATTTGAATTACTAGTACTAGTGCTTAATTTACTACCTGATGTGTATGTTCAAGAATTACGTGATGGGTATATGTCCTTGGACTTTCTAATCGCTACGGTCTCATCTGGCAGATCGACAGGGACGAGATGGCGCCGGACCAGGGGGTGCCACGCATGCGGGGGAGCATCGCGTCGTCAAGTGCGGTTGGTAAGTATACTTTATGCTGCTTTTTTTGTCAGCATCGTCTCCATGCAGGCTACACTGGCAAACAAGCAGCTTAGCTCTTGTGCATGCTGTTTTTTTGTCATCACTAGGGGCGTGTTTTGTTGCCGTGTGCTATAGTACCTGCGTTGCATACCAGTGGCGGAGCTAGCATTTGACATCAGGGTGGTCCGACCCCCGAAAAAAAATTAACAAGAAATATGACATCTGGGCATTCTAAATACTTACCAATATGACACAAGTTCTCCAGCTTGCTCTTCGGCCACATCTCACATATTCATTGCCTTCTTCTTCTTCCCTATCTTCATAGCTTCTCTTTGAAAAGAGAAACAATGTCTCCGGTCCTCTTCATTCTTCAAAAATTCTGCAATAAAATTTAGTTTCTATAAATAAAGCTAATTGAGGCAGAAATGATATGCAAAATTATGCATGTGTTCATCAATTCATGATAGTGTAGTGCAAAAAAGCAAACCCTAAGTCAAAAAATATGGGGTTTCAGTACCTTAAATTTGATTTGCACATTTGCTGCGAATCTGTGATGCTACCGCTGGACGGCTGGAGACTTGCTGGTGAGCGGCACCTTCAACGGTCGTCCGCTTTGCAGGGAGGGCCGAGGGGGCGCAGGCAGTGGGCGGGCGGGCGGCAGGGCCAGGCGGCCACGGCTCCTGCTGGTCAAGGGGCGCGGGCGAGCGGTGGAGCCAGAGAC